GTCATGGTGTTGGGTCGTACCTCAACGTACATGAGGGCCCTATCGGCATCGGCACCAGAGTCCAGTTCGCAGAAGTCGCTCTTGCACCAGGCAATGTAGTGTCGATCGAGCCGGGATTCTACGAGGACGGATCATATGGCATTCGGATCGAGAACGTCGCAATGGTAACGGAAGTCAAGACAAAGCATTCTTTTGGCGACAAGCCCTACTTGGGGTTCGAGCACGTCACTATGGTCCCTTACTGCCAAAATTTGATTGAGCCCAGTCTCTTGACAGTGGAAGAGAAGGCGTGGCTAAACAAGCACAACGCGGAAATCTTCCAGAAAACGAAGGACTATTTCCAGAATGACCCCTTGACCCTAGCGTGGCTGACACGGGAGACGCAACCTTTCTGAGGTCACCAGACCTAAAAGCGGACAAAGGCGGCGAGAGTAAAGGTAGCTGCGAAAGATAGCCGGAAAATAGCATTGTGGAAAGGCTTCGTCAGAATAGCCCTGTTTAGATGTTTCTTCAAACCGAGAAGCTGGGGCAAGTCCAAGCCATATCGATGCGCAAACTGTGGAACGATTGTTAGGACCGAATTCAAATAACCATAAATCAACGAGTGGGGGAACGGTAGCAAGTACGTAAACAGTGAACATGGCTAGGCCGGTAAGCAGAGCCATAGTGTGAGATAGAAAGCCGACGAGAAGTCCAGCTCCAAATCCTATAGCAGCATTAACAAGGTATACCCGGTTGGGATTCTATAAGTTTCATACCATAGATGCTGCCGCGCGAAAGCTGTCTCATCGATTCTGCATTCAAGCTCCCAAATGAACGGCCACCTTGCGCGCGATTGGGCGATGCCACGGTTGAGGTGAGATGAGAGCCAAAGTTCCCAGGCGTTTGTCGATAGGCTAGTGAGTAGGTAACGCAAAAGCCAGCGCCGATTGGCCAAGCCAGGCGCCGGCCGGCAAATCTTACTGAAAGGAGGCCGCTCATGGGAACGTTTCAGCTCAGATGGAAAGCGAAGTCGACTAACGTTGTTATATGTGGGGGAGGAAGAAGGGAGAGACTCAGTGAGAATATGTCTGCAAGCGAAGAGTCGTACCTCGCTTGGCACGTTCATTAGGTATGTGCACCTTTCCTGCGTGCCTTACAATCATTGAAATACCCTCCATTAGGTAAGGTACTACTACCTTAGTCTCATACTTGGTATGCTCTCCTTTACATAAGCACCTAAGGCACGGTACATTACCTTACGAATGCGGTATACCTAGTTGAACATAGGCATTTGGTTGGGCGACTTTCCAACTTGACAGCCTCAGATACGCCACTGACGTGCGTTATGGATGTGGCAGTCTGGAGCGTGGATTGCGGAAGCGTATTGAGAGACCAGGTATACCCGGCAAGCCTGGTGACCCGTACCGCCGACGCTCCGTTAGCTACTTAGGTAGGTATCGAGGTACGTGGAGACATGCCATGTTTACCATGTACGTTTGGATTACGAGGAAGACCATCGAGTCAATTCTCCTGCCCATTGTGGTATGTGGCTCTAGGCGACTTGGCAACGCTGTTGCAAGTGTTCCTAATGATGATTATGTCTGGTTACTTATCTGAAGGACCTCGTTACTTGAGGGCGTCAAGGAGTGATGCCTCAGTACCTCGGCGTTTCTCTACCCTCTAATGTGACCTTCCATCTGAGTCACACCGCATGGCCATCCCGAAAGGTGTTGACATTCAAGTAATAAAAAAGCATCGCCAACGCCAAATACTCCCCATCCCCAATAAAACGTCAAGAAGAACCCGCCATCCCAGAAGGGGTATCCGCACAACCATGATATAACAGAAACAGAAGCCAGAGAAATTATACATCTTGTGGGAAGGATCCCGCGTATTCGCGAGCCATGCTCAGAGGGCGACCCCAGGTCTTCACCAAGGCGGCTCGGTGAATGTAAACAGCCCCATAGATTGGTAGTCCTCGTTAACCTTGGTAACTTCAGCCGAGGCCACCCCACACGCCGCGAATCCGCCTTGCAAGCTGGATATCCTTTTGCATGATGGTAACTCTCTTAGCATGGATCGCACAGAGATTTGTATCTTCGAAAAGGTGAACCAAGAAAGCCTCGGCAGCTTCTTGCAGTGCTTGTATTGCTTGTGACTGCCATCGCATAGCTTCGCCTCGAGGCCTCACCGACTCGGCAATTTCGCGAACCTAGAGAGAACGGTTAATCTGCCGTGTCCAAGAGTATTGACTGGGTTCATCTGAACGTACGAGACGTGAGAAGGGAAGACGTTGCAGCAGAAGGTCGGTGCCGTTTTGGTATCTCCGGATCTCCCTCAGAGCAACCGTCCCTGGTCTGTAGCGTCGCTTGCCTCGATTGGGGATCGGATCGCCAGCTGCTCCTCGTTAGCACCTGTCCTGCGCGACCGGGGTAGCGAAGTCCCTACGTTGGACATCGCTCTGTCGCGATTTGCGACGCACAGCGTCTGACTGTCTCTTCTTCGGGGGCATGGCAATGGCCGGCGTTTTTTAAAGTGTGTTTGCAGAGGTCTGCTCGGGAGATCCTTATTTTGACCTGAAGGAGGCGACGTGTGCCAAAGGAGAGCCGAGTAAGTGCGGTAGCCAAGACAAGGTTGCGAGAGTGAAGGCAGCGACCAATGGATCTTAGGAAAGTCTTGATAGGAATTGCGACAGTAGAGACAGAATAATGAAGGTCAACTGTGCTTCATCTATTATGTTTGAAGGATTAGAAGCCGGGACGAGTTTGCAGCTTGGAGGTGATCATGGTGGTGTTGAAGGAGTAACGGAAGTTGTCGAGCTACCCTCCCATTCCGCTAGGACTTGAACCGTAGTGCGCTACCAGCCCCGCGATTTTCAGGGAAATTGAATCTGGACGCGTTTCGCGTGTTTCTTAACGCGTGTTCTGGCTACCCCGGGCCACTTTACGCGTACTGCGCCAATGCCTGTGTAGGGCTGTCTATTCAGGAACCAGCACTGTGAGGCTGATGGGGATACCTTCGGACTGACTGACGGCACGTGATGTGCTAGGTAAGGCAATGTAGGTATGCGCGAATATGGGAAGGTAGGCACGAAAGGGTACCTACCAGTGGACAAGACATTGATTACTGTTGTTAGGTACTGGTTGCCAAGCTGTCCCCACTCCCCACTTCACTTCAGTAAATTGATCGGCACCTATCAACCGTCGTTCGTCGGCGCTCAAGGTGCCGACCGTGCCTACCTAAGGTAATTTCTACTTGCTACCTACCTTACCTAAGGTACTCAGAGGCCACCTCTCCGGACCTGTAACTTAACATCACCGGCGACCAGTCCCACCCTCTTTAACCTCAGTCACTTCCCACGGCGACTTATCTGACGTTTTATTCCCGATTCAACTACGTCCTTCCGTGCAGTCACAGTTAGTCGTTTGGTCTCTTCTGTCGACAAGCATCGCAAACGTGGTGTTATCCGTCGTCCCCGACACTTTGCAACCCCTCAACCTAGGTATACACTAGACAACCAAGATACTTAGACGGCACTTCATACCCTTCAATTTCCGCACAGCTCCGATACGGCAGGCAATGAGGGCAACTTTTTTGCCAACGAATCTTCGCCTCTGACGCACTCTCGTTACAAATCGTTACGCGGCATGGACCAGATGATGGGTGACGGGGGCCGATTCCCCCTTGAGACGTGGTTCTGGGAAATGCCGATATGCACCAGATGGTGGACGACTGCTACCGTTCTGACTAGCGCTCTCGTTCAATGTCAAATGGTCACTCCCTTTCAGTTGTTTTACAGCTTTCGCGCTGTCTTCGCCAAATCCCAGGTTCGCCTAAATCCCCCATTCTTCATTTATTGATGTGGTGCGCGTTGATTGCAATCCCATGATAATCTAGTTCCCTCTCAAAGATATCTGAACCGTTGCTGATCACTCTGAATGTCCTCATTTAGTACTGGCGTCTTCTGACTACGTTCCTCTACTTCGGTCCATTCTCGCTCGATCTGCTATTCCACGTCTACTTCCTCCAGCGCTACGCACGATTACTCGAAGAGTCCTCTGGCCGCTCCCCAGCACACTTTTCCTGGTTGCTTGTTTACTCCATGGCGAGCCTTCTTCTCCTGTCGCCACTGGTCTCGATGCCGTTCTTGGGCCACCCACTCTCTTCAACTCTCGTTTATATTTGGTCTCGGCGTAACCCGGATACGAGATTGAGCTTCCTTGGACTGCTGGTCTTCACAGCCCCCTACCTACCGTGGGTTCTGATGGCCTTCAGTCTTATTCTCCATGGCTCCATTCCCAAGGATGAAATTATGGGCGTGGTGATCGGACACATCTGGTACTTCTTTACTGATGTATACCCGCCTTTGCACAATGGGTCGCGCCCATTCGACCCCCCAAGCTGGTGGAGGAGGCTTTTTGAGAGACGACAGGTGGAGGAAACAGCCGATGGCATCAACAATGAGATTGCCATTGCCGGAGGCCCAGAGCTCGCTGCTGATGTCCGATGATGGGACATATTGGGCAAATCTATTGGTGAACGGAAAAGAGGGTCGGAAAAGCTGGTGGGATTAGCAATATTTGCATGGTTCTTGGCGTTGGGGTATCAATATCGCCATCAAACGGCATATGTGTTTGTGTCCATGCATTGTTTTCATCAACGAAGCGTCTTAGGCTTGAATTTGCCACAGGCATAGATGACCTTGGAGATAATTTGTGCAATCGACAATTGTGGCAGGCAAAAGCACAGTTCAACGTATTTTATGTATTGTTATCTGTGTGCTCTTTGCGACATGCGTCTCCCTTTATCCGGGCAATAAGTTGTTCCGTTGTCATGCCTGCCATCTTCACACCACAGCGCGCTATAGACGAGAAGGGGCTAATGTGTCGCAAGTCAATGTGCTTTGGCTAGCATGGCTGTTTCTGCAGGTACCAAGGCAACCAGTTCACACATCGGGTCCTGGTTCTGGCTCCGGCTCTGGCCATCTCGACTTCCACGCAAGGTCGCAAAGGATGGGAAGGTCGGCCTGCTGCCACGCGCGCCGGTGGTGGGGTCCAACCGGAATGACCTATCGCAGCCCCACGTGCTTGGTACACTAGGTACCTTACCTTGAGGTAGGTTTAGGTATGCGTAGGTAGGTAAGGAAGGTACCGTAGGTACGGACGGACAACGGCGTGCTTCATTTCCAGCACCTCTTCTGATGACCCCACCTGCTGAGCCAATTGCGTCATTTCAAATACAAAAAAGTGAACCTCATTGCTGCCGCCAAAGCGCACTCGAAGCAATACCAGCTCAATACTGTTGCCAACCACAGAACCTTTTGATAATCGACTTTTCGGAATATTCTTGATACATACTATTTACAGTGCAAACTATACAGGCACACAAACTCTCCTGGTCTCATTCACGCACAACTCTCAGGCTTGCAACACCCTACCCACTCTCCAACATGAAGGCTTATTGGTATGACGGCCTTGATGTAAGTTAAGAAGAAGTATTCCCTTGAATCTTGAGAATGATCAAAGCTTGAGTCCTTAATAGTAATTGTTCACTGACTATCAACAACACCATAGGGTGACCAGCGCCTGGCACATGACTCTGGCAAGGAGGTTACCGTCGAAGATCTGAAGAAGCTTGGTGTCTTTTACCACCAAATTCCTGATCTGGATGGGGTCAACCAGCTGGCTTCGGACCGTGGGTACCGGAACCGAGACGAGATTGTTGTGTCGCCAGAGAAGATGGGCGAGATTTACGAGGAAAAGGTGAAATCCTTCTTCCACGAGCACTTGCATGAGGATGAGGAAATTCGCTATGTTCGCGACGGTCAAGGTTTCTTTGATGTGAGAAGCGCCGATGACGCTTGGGTTCGTATCCGTGTTGAGAAGGTAATATCGCCACGTCCGTCGGCAAATGGCGCTGCGGCCAGCTGACCATCAGCAGGACGACTTAATCATCCTGCCTCCTGGCATCTACCACCGCTTCACAACTGACGAGTCCAACGTAAGCAGTGCATATATCCAGAGTTTACGTAGTTCGCTAACAGTCAATAGTATATCAAGGCAATGAGGCTCTTCAAAGATGAGCCCAAGTGGACCCCCTTGAACAGGACGAAGGACCTTGATGTGAACCCGCACAGGAAAGAGTACGTTGAGCAATACCTTCAGAGCGGCGTATCAGCATGAAAAACCAGCCAAGGACATGGTACATGTGTGAGAGTCTGTGGGCATGAGTGAAGCACGTGGATACGACATCTAGTGGGAGCGTGGAGATGCACCATGCCACATGCGGGATCTTTTGTCATCTGAACATGTTTCCGAGTATGGCGAATATTCCTCCGAAAGCTCCTTCTTGACTGATGTACGACTTAGCAGACAAGCGTTAGACTGGGTAATGCCTACCCTAACACATGCCTCACTGCACAGCGCAAATATGACGAGATCTGACGAAATTTGTCCCTATTGTGTGATTTCTCCATTAAATGAAGACCGGCTTGCCAACCCCGAGATGCCAACGGTGAAAGGCCACTCACTCGTAGAATCAATCATGCCTGGCGCTCTTAACTTTGGTGCTCTGTTGGAACCAGTAAACATGGAAGTGGCCAAATCAGCACTATCTCACTACCGCACTACCGCACTACCTATCTACCTACATTGGATGTCGGGAGGGGGCGATGCGAGAATTATCTTACACTCATCCTTTGGATGAGGATTGTGAAAACTGGCATCAGAAACTAATTTGATATGCATAGAGATATACCTATATACTGTGTACGGATACCCAGCTGCTCATGCATGTACCGGGATTAAGAAGAGGATATGGGGAAGTGGGGTACGGATATACCAGTACTCATCTACCGAAATCGCCGGGTTCATTCAGCAATCAGCACTGGTCACTTTGCGGCCTTCAACAACCCCATCCTCATCGGCCTCGGTATCATTGGAGCAGGCAAAAGTACCTTGCCAAGGTAGGCCTTCCCCAAGGCCACCAATATCTACTTTGCCCTTCACATCGCCTCACACGTGGATATACCGAGCAAGTTGAAACCTCACATTCTCCCTACGTTTCTTTCCCATACCATATATTATTCTTTGTTGGTTTGATGGCTCGGGTATCTGCACTTTCCAAAGCCACTGGCATTTTACCGTCCCCTTTGCTTCCATCTCACCGTCAACAGGGCATCTAGTAACTCTGTTCCGTAACCAAACGAACTGCAACGAGTGCGCCTCTGGAGACTGCTTCCATACCGACTGCCAAAAAGCTGTGAGCTTATCTATAGAGCTGCGTAGAGCTCGTAACATCACCCAGAGTGTGTGAAACGAGCGCGATGGACGTATGTAGTGAGAACAGCGCGACTCCCGCGGATGGACCGTCAAGAGCAAAGCTTCAGCTCCCAGCTAGCTGTGATCCACCACAACTTGACGGCGAGAGAAAGCAGCTGGTCTGGGTTGTAAGTGACGGGACTCCCTCATATTACTTCCTGGCGTTGACTAAGCACTTCCTGTGCAGGTATTCGGTGGAACCGGCCACATGGGTAGATCTCTTGTCAAGTCCGCCTTGTCCAAAGGAGATCTCGTCACTTCCGTGGGCCGTGTGTTCGAGACGACGCCAGAGGAAATGGTAGCACAGCAGGACAATGAAAATTGCCTGGGGATGCTGTGTGACGTTCGAGCGAGAGACTCGGTAGCGCGGGTCATTGAACGGACCTTGGAGCGGTTTCAGCGATTTGACGTTGTAGCCAACTGCTCTGGCTATGGCGTAATTGGAGCATGTGAGGACCAGGACGAGCACGAAATCCGCAATCAGTTCGAGACGAACTTCATGGGCACTTTGAACATTATCCAAGCCAGCCTACCCTACTTTCGTCAACAGAACGGCGGCCGCTACCTGATTTTCAGCTCGACCTCAGGAGCTCTGGGCGTTCCAGGCCTCGGCCCCTATTGTGCAACCAAATACGCCGTCGAGGGACTCATAGAAGCTATGCTTTACGAAACAGACTCATTCAACGTCAAGGCAACACTCGTAGAGCCAGGGTTCGTCAGAAGGGACGAGCCAGATACCCTTGCAACGCCGTTGCCAACCTGGGGCCATTTCCTCATCAAACCTGCGAGCGATGCCTACGCGCAGGCAACATCACCAGCATTGCATGCCAAAAGAATGGTTCAGTGGCTCGGTGACCGGCAGCCGACGAGCGCCGTCAAGTGCGCGGAGCTCGTCTGGCAGTTAGCTCACTGCTCGTATCCCCCGCTGCGGCTTCTTCTGGGGAGCTATGCAATAGAGAGTATTCGTGATAGGCTGCGGTCCGTCACCGAAGAATTGGAGGATTGGAAACATCTAAATTTCCCCGCTCCGCCTGATGAAGGGGAGGGAAAGGAGGCTCGGGTAGATCAAGATGAAAGCATGGCCGACTCTGGACAGGATGCGCCTGGCCAGGGAACTGCGTAGGAGTTGTGTGCCGAGCCATAGTGTATTTTGAATTCTTCGATCCCCCCCCCCCCCCCCACCTTCAATGGCGAAGATGCGAACAGTGGCTCCTGTCTCTCGTTAAGTATTATGCGCAAGGAAGGAATTCTCGGTACTTCAGCTTTGCCAGACATCAGGGATATTCTTCTACAAGAAAGCAGTGCCAATATCTCACATGCCCTGGCATGTACGGGTACCTAGGTATGCACCACCCCGAAAGACAGGAGCCAACCTTACGGTTCTTGCCTTATGTAATCATGAACAAGAAGCAAGAATGTGAAAAAAAAAAAAAAAAAAAAAAAGTTGAGGCACCGTGACACTTTCCCTTACGGTGCCCTGTGGTTGAGTTGGAATGGTGCACCCCTGAGGCTGCCAGGTGTTCAGTGGTCCCTTGCATTCATCCCTTCTTACCAAATATACCTAGGTACTTTCATGGCTCCTTGGCTGTCCGGGCGGTATTTTGGGAGCTTACGTGCCCCGAAATTCTCCACCTGGCCTGTAGAAAGCACTAAGGTCATCCAATCTGAGGTGAAATTCCGTGACCCTTGATAGGTAGGCGCACGCGTGTTCCCCTGCGTTCCCGTCCCGTCCGTTCTAATACCCAAGAGCATTTGACCCCCTTAACCTCCGTTTTCTTTCTTGACCCCAGATCTTCAACAACGCTTCCCCTAGAGCCAGATCACCGCGTCCGCAGACAACGAAGCGTGCAGGACCGCAACAACTCGATCAACTACTTTCTACCTCGTCGAGTTCGCAAGGCCGGTCACACAAGACTCTCACCGTTACTGAATCTCGGCGCATTCGCAAGCTCCAAGGCCACGTCCTGCGCCAAACTTGTTGAAGCCAGCTTGCTTCCACTGCCAACTTCACATACTTTCCAGACAATCGTACACCAAGCGCCATCATGTCGGACAAGAAGAACGAGGATTACGAGCTCCGCCCCGCCGAGTCATTTGGAGAGAAGGATGGCTTTCTTGCTCGGCCTCCTCCAAGGCCGCGTCCTGCTCTTGGATCGCCAATCAGCAAGATTGACAACAGTCCCGGCGCGGCCATTCTTGCCTACTGCTTCTCTTCCATCAGCATGACAGTCGTCAATAAATACGTTGTTTCCGGCCAGTTCTGGAACCTGAACTTTCTTTACCTTGCTGTCCAGGTGCGTTCTATCCAAGGCAAATCATCAGTCGCGATCAACTCTAACTCAGCCCTGCTATCCAGTCCATCGTGTGCATTCTTACCATCATCGTCTGCAAGAACCTCGGAATGATTACGAACCTGGCGCCGTTCGACACTGACAAGGCAAAGAAATGTTGGTCATGTCCTACGTGATGCAGGCATCGGCCAAAGCTTACAACGCGCAGGGTTCCCTATCGCACTCCTCCTGGTTGGCATGATTTACACGGGCACCAAGGCCTTGCAGTTTCTCTCTGTGCCAGTATACACCATCTTCAAGAACTTAACCATCATCGTCATCGCGTACGGCGAGGTTTTGTGGTTCGGCGGCAGTGTCAGCCCTCTTGCCCTTCTCTCTTTTGGCCTGATGGTCCTCAGCTCCGTTGTTGCCGCCTGGGCTGATGTCCAACATGCTCTTGGAGGTGGCTCGCAGTCTGCCGAAGCCTCTGCCGCCGTTTCGACCTTGAACGCCGGGTACGCGTGGATGGGCATGAACGTTTGCTGCACTGCGGCCTATGTGCTGGGCATGCGCAAAGTCATCAAGAAGATGAACTTCAAGGACTGGGATAGTGAGTTGCCCTGAACGTCTAGATACCATCCCCCCCCCCTCCATTGGCAGAATTTACTAACGAGTGTGTCATGAAGCCATGTTCTACAATAACCTTTTGACGATTCCTGTCCTGATCGTTTGCACATTCCTTGCCGAGGACTGGTCTTCGGCAAACATCGAGAAGAACTTCCCCGTGGAGTCGCGCAACAGCCTGTTTGTCGGTATGATTTACTCAGGACTCTGCGCCATCTTCATCTCCTACTGCTCTGCATGGTGCATTCGTGTGACCTCGTCAACGACGTACTCTGTGGTTGGCGCACTCAACAAGCTTCCCATCGCCATCAGTGGTCTGGTCTTCTTCGACGCCCCTGTCACATTTGGCAGTGTGTCGGCCATTGTTGTTGGCTTCATCAGCGGTATTGTCTACGCATGGGCAAGAATTCGTCAGACAGAGGCTTCCAAGATGTCATTGCCGACGACACAACCCATGAGCGCGAGCTCGCAAAGCAATAGGGATGCGAACAAGTAGTGGTTGCCAGTATGGAAAGGCTACCGGAATACAGACAAGTTTTGGGCGTAGCTTGTCCACGTGAGAACCTTGTGTCGGTGGTACGCTGACGACGGCCGTCATCTATCCCATTCTGGACAGCCGTGCAGGAGTGATGGCCGAGGGCGCAGTGGCATGTGAACTCGGCCAGGATCGGCTTCGCTCTGCTCTTGAGATCAGAATAGACAAGAAAAACTTGTGCCGCGATGCATGCTCAGCCTTTGGGATGTGGGTGGAAGAGTGGAATAAGGAGTAGCAAGCATATGAAAAGGCGTGTCAGAATACTACAACATTTCGTTTGCTGACGAAATGAATGTGGAACGATAGTACAGTTCTCTGGATGATGTAGCAATGTTATAATGCCATGACACTGAGTTCACACAGGCCTTGACAGCCTTCCCGCTGTGAAAGAGTCGGCAGGGGGCCGACATATCTGCGATCCATTTTAACGTTATAATTCAACAAGATGTGGCGGTGAGTTTGGTTGAGATGCTGGAAATTCCGAGGCGCCCCAATCGATTGAAGAAAATTGTGTCGCTGACAGCGCCCTATGTACCCACGTCAAAGCTTAGAGTCAGGCAGCTTACCTCGTGGGCTTTGAAGAAGTAAACGGTCCTCAAGAGAGAAACGCGAGCCATCGGCGTGTCTTTCTTAGATGGCATCTTCCTCGCCTGAGCTGCTGCCTTAAGTCCTCATTTTCATGTGAGGGAGGAAGCAATGGTCGTTCTTTGTTGAAAAGCTTGGAACCGATACACGTGGAGCTCCCCTATGGAACTGTATGAAGTAGAACATACCTACGCAGTAGCTATCCGTACCAGCTATCAGGATCTGTGACATCACCCTCCACAGTACCCTAGGGTGGGCAGCTGAGGCATGTGGCAGAAGGTATGCTAAATACGCTCTAAGCTTCCATTGGCGTGGCCTTGGAAAGCTAGATAAGGGAAACTTAGAATGGCACGAATTAATTAGATATATATATATATACTGATTTGTATTTTCTTGTCAAAGTATTAAAATAATTATAGTAATAATTCAGATAATATTTGTTTTAAGTTTTCTGTCTTTACTAATTGCTCGGGCGCTTCTTAATATTTTTCGAATAGTATTAATATATAATATTATCGAATATTTTTACTGTCTTGATAAAATAATTCAGATAATATATTAATCAAGCTTAACTAAAAATAACAGGAAAAAAAGAATTATTTTAGTATTAAAAAATTTATAAATAAATAAAACAAGAAACTATACTTCTACTAGCTCTGTTTTCTTCTCTTTCCTTAATCCAAGCTTCCTTTCTAGGGAAGAGGAGACGAGAAAATCTGTTGGTATTGTTAGGTTAGTGGGGGTAGAAGTTCCAGGGGACGCCTCTACCGTCCCCTCCCCCTTGCGACCTGAGAGTAGCCCATCGCCAACAGGTCCACGTGCCATTTCAGCCGTCACACGAAACTGCTGCTCGTTTTTTTCTTCTTTTTAAGACGATCCGCAATCATAGCTATGTTGTCATAACCAGCTGTCTCCTACCTGCTTTAGCTCCCGTCCCGTCATCCGAAGTTGGCACGCCGCCACATGATCCCAACATCCATCACCAAAGTCAAAAAACCTCATTTGACAACTCCCCAACTCATCGCTTATTTTCCTCGGCGCAAGGTCGATCTCTCCGAGCCTCCACCTCTCGGTGTTTCGCTTTCCCTCTAATTCATCTCCAAGGAGATATGGACTAAGCGTTGCTTCAACGTCTTTCCCTACTGCAAGTCAGCCTTGCACCTTGTCGTCTTTGCCGGATCTATTCGATAAGTGGCATCGGCAGTTCTAGCCAACATGTTGCCCTTCATTCATAAGCGTACGTAACATGCACCCTCGACTAGCACTTTGTTGATTCTTCCCATGTCGGCTTCTTCCACTGCTGAGGCCTTTCTTGCTAACTTTTGCTTGTCCCTGTAGCTTTCGAGCTTCTTGCTTCGCGCATCGGCGCATCTCCGGACGAACGTCGGTCCCTCCCACCAAGCTCGGCTACATAGCGAAGCTCTACGAACCCTCGTCCCCAATAGAGCACCAGCACTGACACCACGATTTTCCAGTCAAGCTCGTCTTCTCGTTCCTCATATCATACCCGTTAGCTGGCTTGCTCAAACGAGTTCCCGACTCCAGGCCTGACCTCAAAAACCTCTTCATAATAAGGTATGCTACCCAGCAGATACCCAGGCTGGCACCTTTATCTCTTCCAACCGGTCTTGTCATTGACACTTCGGCTCTTGAACTAGTACCTCCACTTTCTATCTAGTCGGCCTTTTCGATTTGTGGGATGGAGTGCGCACCCTTGCCATCGCCTCTGCCGGCATCTACAGCATTGCCAAGTACATGCGCACCAGCCCATTCATGCCATGGGTCGGCTTCACGTTTCTCATGGGCCACATGTCCATAAGTCACATCGCTCGTCAAGTGGCCAATAGCCCGTCTTCCGTCGATATCACTGGCGCCCAGATGGTGCTTCTGATGAAGCTTAGCGGTTTCTGCTGGAACGTCGCGGACGGTCAGCTCCCGGACGACCAGGTATCCGAGTACCAAAAGGAAAGAAGACTGATCGAGCTACCCAATATTATGGACTATGCTGGATACGTACTCTTCTTTCCTTCGCTCTTCGCCGGACCTGCTTTTGACTACACCGATTATCGCAAATGGATAGACACCACAATGTTTGACCTTCCGGCCCAGGTCGACCCCTCAAAGAAGCCTCCTGTCAGAAAGAAGAGGAAGATCCCTCGTAGTGGAACACCTGCTACTTTGAAAGCTGCCAGTGGTCTCGGGTGGATTGCGCTTTTCATGATTCTCTCTGGTTACTACCCAATCACCTACTTAACGAGCCCTTCGTACATGGATCATGGGTTTTTCCACAGGGTATGGATTCTTCACATGGTCGGATTTACCGCTCGTTTAAAATACTACGGAGTCTGGTGCTTGACCGAGGGCGCTTGTATCTTGGCCGGCCTGGGCTACAATGGCGTTGATCCCGTCACCGGTAAAGTGTCGTGGAACAGGTTGCAAAACATCAACCCCTGGGGTGTCGAGACGGCCCAGAACACGCGCGCCTACCTTGGCAACTGGAACATCAACACCAACAATTGGTTGAGGAACTACGTATACCTTCGGGTTACGCCTGTTGGAAAAAAGCCTGGATTCCGCGCCAGCCTTCTCACGTTCAGCACTAGTGCCCTTTGGCACGGCTTTTATCCCGGCTATTACATGAGCTTCATCCTAGCCAGCTTCATCCAAACTGTAGCCAAGAGTAAGTATACCTGTGAGAGAGTCGCTGTAGGCTTAGAAGAGTGCTATGATGGACTAACATCTATGATAGACTATCGCCGCTACTTTCGCGCCTTTTTCCTCGACGCGACCAGCGGTGCGCCCACTTCCAACAAGTTCTACTACGACGTCCTCTCGCTCTTCGTTACTCAAATCGGCATGTCCTTCGTTGTCACCCCATTCCTTGTTCTAGAGTTCTCCGGCTCGGTCCAGGTGTGGGCTCGTGTCTACTTCTATACCATTGTCGGCACTGCGCTTTCCATGGCCTTCTTTGCCTCTCCGGCAAAACAAATCCTTCGCAAGCAACTCGAGGCACGTCAAGGCATAGGCGGTGCCAAGCTGACCCGTACCTTGAGCCAAGACAGTCTTTCAGGCCGGGAACCGGTCTTGGGTGTGTCGGCGGACCCTCAGCGAGAGATCGACGAGGCTATGGAGGAAATCAAAGCCGAGGTGGAAGCCAGACAAAGAAGCAAAGCTGCTTGAAGATCGCGAAAGGGCGGCGTCTTTGCAGACAATTGTTCCCGTCTCCATCTTGAGCGGCCCTCGTTCCTGCATATATATGACAACAGCGTTAATGGGTACAGAGTTGTTGTCAAAGTCGTGAAGTGGGCGAGGCATTGGGTTGTAAGAAGCCCTCCAAGGGCAGGTCATTAGACATTGCAGGCTATGCAGATCTAAAACTAAACCATTATAATATGATGTCTATATCCCATAACAGTGACGTGATGCCATTGCCTGGCTCGGTTGTCTCCAATCACCCAACACCGATCCCAGTATGTTTGACTCCCGTGCAAAGCCAAGGGGGGTATCGTCAAGCAATTCAAGTCGCCCAACGAGAGAAAATCAGAAGGAAATGCCATCATGTTGTCATCAAGGGTTGTGGCCCTATCTGGCCAGGTGTACAATTACAGAGAACTATGTATGGCTTGCAAGCGTCGTCGTTGTGCGGAGCCATTAGACTAGATGGTGGAAATGGCCGGATGGTCGGCTGCCGAAAAAACTTGGTATGCGCATGTCTATATGAGGAAACAATAACTGGTGTCGTAGATTCGTGAAGGGATTAAGTCGTTACCCCAATCGTGATGCCGATGCACTGAATTTCAACGGCCAATGGTACTTTTGATGAACACTCATTTGTTGCCGGGGCTGAAGGGTGTGTACCGCGGCGTGTTCGAGCACCAGACCCCGTGTTTGAGGTGGTGCATACAATTAGAAAGCAGGCGGCATGGAGTAGACAGCTACACCATTTGGCCCCAGCCTTGTTTTACGCCGACGACAACGAGAGCCGCAATGGCGCCAACGACCAGAAGACCAATGACGGACATGTACCGATTAAGTGCACGCCACCAACGGGCGCTTTGGAAAAGAGTCTCGTCGACCGCTGCAACTCGCCTAGGAAGGTCTCGTTCTTCGTCCAACAGGCTTGATCGTGGGTCGCGCTCGGCCATCTCAGCTTGAGGGTCCGGGGGTAGCGGAAGGAAGGCAGCAATCATCCATGCTGGCTCAGGTTAGTCTTGTTTAATACAGTGCCGTTGAGTAGGAGTGTCTTACCAAATGGGAAGATGAATCCCAGAGCGAAGAAAGCAACCTGAACGTTGCGCTTCCCCAGCATACTCGTCTCGGCTGACCACGCCATAGAAGGTGGTTCCCAGATGCTGTGACGACCCGCCCTCTGATCACGCCGCAAGTGGGGTGACCAGATGCTGGATGTCTTCTTCCTTAACCCGCTGCGCATTCGGTTGTCTGTCAACGGTGCTTGGTTGATTTCCATGGAGCCGACGTCTGACAGTGGCCGAGGGTTGGCAAGGTTTACCTCCCTCGGCCGCCGCCTGGGGCTGTAGATGTTCATGGCGAGCTGTTCGACACTGGGGGTACCGCTTTGGAATGAGCTCGGTGGCCGGCTATCGTTCGGATCTGACATGATCGAGTCTCCCGAGCTGGCAAGGAATCGACGTTCCCCGCTTCCGTAGTAGAATCTGCAAGCAGGCGGCCATGTTAGCTTGAGGTCCAATCACCGAGATCACACTGCTTCTTGCAGGATATCAGGTTGACTTACTTGGCCCAAGCGGGGATGGACGCCGAGTTTAGACTGTTCGCACGGGAGCTACTAGAGGAGTGGAGGTTCCGGTCTGACGAGGAACTCGAGAAGAAGCTTGAAAGGCCGGTCCGCGAAGGCCGTTGGTGTAGCTGGTTCAGCTCAGCCAGACCGTCGCCATGTTCGTCTCGATCGCTGACCATGCGAAGCGTGTTCCCTCTGCTGTGTGTAGCTTGAGGGCGTTCGAGAGAGTCCGTGAAGGATCTTGAGTGAGAGAGTGAGCGCTCCTCGTTTGCAGCTAGCGACGACGAAATGCTAAGCATCTGCCGGCTATGGCTGCTCAACGGTATGCTACCCCGTCTCCCAGGCACAGACCATGGGGACACGGAACGTGATGGAGGCTCGCTATCCCCCTCACTCTCCGAAATCACAGTGGATAGTTGTGAGCTCCATTGGTGAGGATGGGTGGTCATATGGGATTCAGCAGGAACAGAGATGGGGGCGGGTTCCGTTGGCGCAGCTTGCGCGTCAGGCTGCCGACCTGGCTGGCTGGCCAGAACACGAGATCGATAAAATGCAGCGGGAGAGGCGAGAAAACTCTGGGCTGCCTCGAGAGTGAGCGAGCCGGAAATCGACTTTACTGACGCTGCACGGCGCAAGGAATCCCTCGAACGCGCCTTGTAGTATCCAAACCTTTCGTTCGTCCTCTTCTTCGCCTTGTAGGGTTTCAGCGGCGCCACCAAAAGGCTTTCCTGCGAGTATTCGGGTCTGATACGGGAACGGTGGCTAGAGGCGACGGATGATGGTGCTGGGGACGATGCGCCGAGTACAACGTAATTCTGTTCGCTATCGGCCGTCTTCGGGGGACTTCTCTCGGCAGATGATGGTTCTGGAGGCGAAGACCGGCCAAGGACTACGTAGTTGGAGTGGCTCGAGGATGGCGGTTGTAACGAATCCTCCCGCTCGGGCGAAGAAGGCAAGCTGGAACCGAATACCTTGTAGTTTGTCGTCTCGGAGGTCGTTGATGGCGCATGTAAAACGCTGTCGGCGTCGGTCGCTTGGGGAGAATTGGAGCCGTAGACTTTGTAGTTCGTCTTTTCTGAAGTCGTGGACGCAGTGACGGATGACTGAAAGGAGGTTTTGGGCTGCAAATCGTGGGGCTCGGAAGATTCAGACGAATCAGCAGCGGTTGGCGCCTCTGGCAGCGGCGCGAGTCGAGAACCTGATGGGGATGACGGGTAGGATGGGGCTGGATCGGATTCCGGGTAGAGTAGCGTCGACTTTTGCTTCTGCTTGAGATCGGGAGTATTGGGAACCTTGCGTAGGCCACCAACCATTCGATAGTTCCAAGGAGACGACGAAGACCCGGCTGTGCTGGTAATAGAATCACCTGCTAATTGCGTGGTCGAGGATGCCGGGGTCAACGTGGAAGCGAAGCTTTGATCCGGGTAGGAAGTCACGGTTGAGCTGGGACGATTTTCACTGAAGGCGTCTGAAAGGCGCTCATGCGAGGCGGTAGTCGAAAGTGATAGCCTTGGGGCGGTGCCAGAGGCATAGTCTCCTTGGGTTCCGGCCCGCTGCCCCTGAGGCAATAGGGAGAAGGTCTTGCCATCGGCGTTGAGCGTAATGAGATTGCGACGGCGGGACAAGGGGCGCTTCGCTGAGGGTGTGACAGGCTCATTATCGGCGCTGCGTTGGGTAGACCGGGATCGTGCATTAACGTGGGAAATATCGGTCTGATGTGGTGGAGTGGTAGGGACAGGGGTGGTTGGGGACGATTCGTCGCTGGGCAAGGAGTCGGATCGCAGTTTCGAGCCTGAAACACCGCTATCCTTGGCGCTCACCAATGGGAAGGTTGAGGAGGCTGGCGATAGCACTGAGGTTCGTGTGCTGGAAGAGTGAGACCGTCTGTGGGAGTAGCGGTCGCTGGCGCGGCTGGCTGTGCGGTCGTCGGTCCATGAATAGCTGGTGTGATCGTAACCTGATGGGTTGGGAGATAATAGTGCAGTTGTCGATGTGGGGGTGCGTGATGATGAAGCCGAGGCGGTCGAGTCTCGATTCTTGTGGCTTGGACGAGGCGGACTGTAGGGGACGATTCGGATGGCTAGGGAATTAGACTGGGAATTAGAGCGCTCATGTAACGGCCTCCGTTGGGACCGGGAGGGGCTGCCCCGGGAGGGGCTCCCAGACCCGGACCCGGAGCCGGACATGCTCCGTGAGGTGGCTGCGGGAGGAAGGAGAAATCGGTGGCTTTCGCAGACAAGCGTAAGCGTCGAGGTGGGTGGTCTTTGTCGGCGTGGGGTATCCGGGCCATGGAGTGCGAGTGGCACCCAAGCTTAACGGGGGATAGGTTGGTTGCGGAAGCAGGCGGGGGCCGAGCGCAGTGGGATTCTCGGAGCGGCTGACTCGCCGAGACCAGCACGGCTAGAGGTGACGAAGGTGACGGACACGGATCCGGTCTGTGCTCTAGCTATCTCGAATTCGAAAATAAATAAATAAAAAAGGGCAAGGAACAATCACAGTTGGCTTTGATTGTGCGAATTCCAGCAGTCGAGGTCATGCGGCGCCGTGGAGAAGGGTGTGTGGAGGTAGTTGGCTATGGTAGTTGTAGCTCTAGCTCGGGGTGGTCAGAATGCGTGTTTTTTTTCTTCAAAGTTTTCCGAGGGGATTCCGTCGAGATAGATTTGGTCGAGTTGAATACGGCCAATGCCGTCATTGAGCTCGAGAGGTACTGTGTTGCTTCGACTTGAGTGGTTCGGTCCAGATGAAAATGCTCCAAATGCCTGAGAAGGCCGCTTTTCTTCATTAAAGTACCTAGTAGGTGTGTGAATGTGTGTTTGTGTGTGTTGATTGAGAGAGTGTCGTCGATGGATGGCGCGTGGGCTGATTGGAATTCTCTGTCGATGGTTTACGTTGTTGCGTGTGGAGTAGCCGCGGCGACTCAAATTTGGCGAAACGAGTGAGTGATTGACTGGATTCGAGGGGATGGGTAAGATAATGTACTATAGTGATAAAAGATTGTGGCAATGAAGAAGAACAATAGAAAAGGCAAAGAAAAGACGTCACGAGAGACGATAAATGAGAGTGTGAGATTATTACAGGCGAAATGGCCTTGAGATGCAATTGAACAGACGAGACAAGAGAAAGACGTTGGCAAGCACGACGAAAGATGGGCAGGCAGGCCGAAGAGGAGAGAGAGAGAGAGAGAGAGAGAGCGAGAGGGCGGAAAGGAAGGGGAAAAGGGAAAGAACTTCGGGAGCGTAGGAAGAGGAGTAGAAGACCAGAAAAGACACCACGACGGCGGGCAGTCGACATTAAGGTACCTTGGGGTGGGCACCTCTAAGCTCTGGCTGCCACCTCATGGAAGTGGACAAGAAGCTCTAGCCTCCCCTTCTCCCACCTGGTGCTCTGAAAGCCTGCAAGCCTGCAAGTGCAAGGTGATTGAGGTGCGTTTGTGTGTGGGAGAGAGAGCCAGGCTAGGTAAGGTAGGTACAGCAAGGTACACTACGGATACCAGGCCCGCAATGAACGACCGGGGTAAAGCAGCAAGTGCAGGGTATCTTGCAGGTGAAGGATGCCCGCGGTGAAGAGCTAGACAGGGTGACAGGGCAGGCCTCAGGGCAGCAGGAGAGGAACGAGTGGGATTGAATGGAAGCAGACCAAGGCAGGAGCCGAGAGGAAAGCAGGAAACAGGTATCCGTACAGATACGCCATCCACCGTAAAGATAGGTAGGTATTTGTGAATGGTAGGTACTTACGGATACCAAAAGCCTCAACTTCTCAACTTGGGAGGCGCCTCAGGCAAGAATGGGAGGCAAGGAAGGTAAGGAAGGCAGGAAAGGTAAGAAATGTTGTCGGCCACTAACCTCGTTTTTCCACTTTCAATAAATAGGTACAGTTTGCTCCCCGTCGACGACTGCCTAACTTAATCGAGATGCAAGAACAGCTGGTCTCTAGCCAAGCGGCTATTTCGTCGCCAGTCGCCAGTCAAGCCGCGACGTTTTGGACGTTTTCTGTTGGAAAGAGAGACTCCGGGTCTCATGCAGGTCCGACTCCTGGGTCCTGACTTCTGATTCCTGACAGCACAGCGCGACGACAATTCTTGCTCGCCCAAGCGGAAGTGGGCCGGCCCTGGATGCGAGAAGGGCGGTCGAGGGCGTTCGTTGCGTCGTATGGATAACGGGGACTTCTGCACAAGTTATGGGATGCTGCTTCAAATTGACAGTGGCAGTGGCCGAATGAGCGGCAAGGTTGGGCCTCGACACTTGACACCCTCAAATGCCAGCCGACCAGGGCTGATTTCGAGACTCGAGACTCGACACTCGACACTCGACACTCGAGCCAGATCAGGGGCTTGGAAGCTGGGCCAGACTTTTGCGCGGCAATGGTTGATGGCGGCTATGCTGCAGCACCCGTCTGTAAGTGGAATGTCGGCCGATCTGGCTTGAGCCGGAGAACCAGGGGGCGGCGGCGGCGGCGGCGGCGGCGGGAGACACAACTGGCCAATGTCGCTCCGACACGGTGGGCGACGCGGAATACCTAGCGTACTTGTACGAAAGGGGGACGGTTCGATAGTCGTTACGTCGTATGGGATCGGCCCTGGGTTTAGTTGATGGTTCGGGTTGTCGAGTCTGATGCGCGCCAGCTATCCTCCAATGGAACGAACCACGTCCTTTATCTTCACCAGCTGATCTCAACAAGGAAAAGGAGAGGAAGAAGGAGGAGGAGGGTAGCAGTGCCATGCGGCCATGTCGATGGGGTCGAGGCCTTTTTGACACGCGGCTGCTAATTGCAACACACGACAGCAGCAGCTATTATTGTTAATTATGCCCTCCCGACGTGGACGTGGTTCGCAAAGTCTGACGAGGAAAACAAAACAAACCGCCGCCGTCAGGAACGCCCGATCCAAGGCCACCCCCAAGGAGCTCCCTGACCCGCGAACGAGCACAAGGTCTGGATGACCCGGCCAAGGACAACCGCCCGCTCGCTCGCTCGACGGCGCCACCAAGGAAAACGACTAGAAGTTCAAGGACGTCCTGGGCTGAGAATTCGAGATGCGGCGTTGGGGTAAAGCTACCATATCACACGGATGGTGCCGCACTGATTAGTGACCGATGTAGGGCAGGGAAGACTGAAACTACTCTATAGCCTAGCAAACGAGATATGGGCATCGTGCGCACTGATTACTGCGTAGCGTACCCAGGTCCCAATGTAAAGGGAAAGATATAGGTTGAGGTATGGATACTTGAACCTTGGGATACCATGACTGACCGGCAGATGGAGCCGAGTGCGGAGCACCATGCCTGTTCATAGTGAAGCACGGTAAGAGTAAGAGTGAACGTGGAAAAAGAAACGCCCCCAACATTACCTACAGTTAGAGACGAAGCACATACGGATGCAGTCTTGGGGACCGGAGAAAACAACGAGCAGGCTCTCGCTCAGCTTTCCCAGTCTCAACAACGTTGTTTTGAGAGCACGTCCTTTGCACTTAAAGTAGCGCGCCTTCATGGCTGTAAGGACACGGTCCTTTCAACGAGGCCCCAAGACATGAAGGAACACAGAGAAGCAAAGTGTCCCATGTGGTGAACCGCCCAGTCCTCTAAGCCTTGGAACGCCCATTCGTGAGCTGATTAGCTCCCGCTCTCCGCGCCATGTCTGTGAGAGAAACTGAGAGAACGGATACGCTCGATCCACGGCGAAGAATTCAATCCAATGCCCCCCCCCCCCATCATCATTCTACCCTCACCCATGCTTCCATGCTTCCACGATTCCATGTTCCCTTGTTCCCTGTCAAGTCCACCCAGCTTCTTGGGTCTTTGATGACGAGTTGCAGAGAAGCAGCAACGGCTGCACAACTCAATGGAGACGTTGGCACATTACGGATACGGAGTCCATCGTCCCATGTATTAGTGTATACAGATAGCTAAGGTAGTGTAAACCGTTTGGGTGGATTCACCTCGGTGAAGCAGGGTGGCCCCGGGGTAAAGAAACCTGGTCACTACCAACTCATCATTAGCCCAGAGAGAGCAGAGGCCGAACCTTAGTTCAAGGTGAACTGAGACATACCTAGCTCACCAGCAACACGAAGCTCAAAGTCTTCTCGCCATAGGGCATCCGTGCTCACTATCCTCACTGTTCCAAAAACTGCCAGTTCTACCAACTTCCAGCACTTTGTCTGGACACTGGCCTCTGCTGCTGCAGTGACGGGTGGCCAGCCAGCGGCCTGAGTACACGCCGTCGCAAAATATACGCAAGCAAGTGGACGAAGTACGGATATGGCCCGCATCGGCGAGTCGCCGTGCCCTGGTATCCAGTGCGCCGTGCTGCACTGACTTCGGTTGGCAAGATGAAGAAACCCACCTCTCTGTCCAGACTCCAGCGCCGGCATCAGCGGAGGTTGGCATTCACAACTATCGTCAGTGGTCGGAAATAGGTCCCAATGACCGTCATCTCAGGATCACACCTGAGCTCTAGCGGTGAGATGCAGGGTGTAACCTGGAGTGGAAGAGGCTACTCCGCCAAAACACAGCTAAAGTTGTGTGTCACAATGTTACGTCGTTTCTCTCTCTCTCTCTCTCTCTCTCTCTCTCTTTCTTTTTCTTTTTCTTTTTTTTCTCGTGCGTTTCTTCTTTTCCTGCCAGCGGAAGAGGTTCTGACAGAACAACTTGCACTTGGTAACGCCCCCAGCCGTGGCAGCAGCACGAGACTTTTAGGATGCGCGGGGAACTCAAAGAAACGGCGTGGGCGGCTTTCGGGCGCTTATCACCATCTGCAATCTCAATATGGTTGGTCGTCGCTTCTAAGCCGTAGCCGCTGTGTCGCATGTCCAGACTGCAAACTGCAAACATTTCAGTGAAAGGATATCTGTACCTTGCTTGGCCAAGGTCGCGTCTGGGTTGCACCTTGTTTCCCAAGGTGCCAGCTGGCGCAGGTGGATCTCATCCCACAATTCCCATCATCCCATGCCCGTCGAATATTGGATGGGGTGCGGAGCTCTTCATTTTCGAAAACCAGCGCAACTTGCACCATCCGTGTTTGCGATGCCGCGGATGCAGAGGGTAAGTTGAGAGCTCGCGGGGATAAAACTTAGCCACTTTGTTGACTATCTTACCGCAAGCGGAAGTGTTGTAAACAACTCTGGGATCCGGGGCACAGTCCCAGTCTGGATCACTAATAAAGGCCTGATGAGTTCCCCCATCCTGATCCGAAATCGCAAAAGGTTCGTGCCATCGGAGGGACCAGTGACCATCACCTACTGTGCATCCGTACGCAGTACTCACAAGTCACACCGCCTGGGCCGAGACTGTGGACGGCGATGGCAGCCGTTGTTGACAGTGCTCGGTGGCCCGTTGCTGTGAAGATGGGGGAAAGCTTCAAACACTCGCCCGCTTCGCGATGAGCCCGGCAATATCTGACCTCAAGGCTTTAGGAATCTGGAATTTGGATACGTACGAATAGTGCAGAGAACAGCTTAATTCGATTGTGCTCGTGTGAGAAATGTTGTATCCAAAGTGCGGATAATTGTTGAAAATTATGTCCGTCTCCATCTTGCCGAGTCGTGCGCCTGCATGGGTGGATGCACATGGCAAGGAAACAAAATCTGGACCCTCACGCGTGGGATGGGGACAACTTGACGAGGGCAAGAGTTGGGGAGGCTCGTTACTTGTCTTGCCTCACGGATACCGAGCCAATGCCTCTTTCGCACAAGACCAGTTGGCTATTCTGAGATGAGGCGGTCATAATGAGAATGCTGCGGATACGCCCTTGAGGGCAAAAGTAGTTGCAGGATGAGGCCGTGACGCATGCTGGACAACTGGAACCTGGAGACTGGCAACTTGCAAGAGGGATTAATTTCCATGGGCAGCCTCTTAGGGGCCACGATGGAGTCAGGCATTCCCGTCCTTCTCATTGGCAGCTTGTTTCTCTGTGAAAATTTCCAATTGACTCTTTTAATTGGTCCCTCATCTCTGAGCACGTATATAAGGGTAAGGTTGCTTTGGTCTTCGGCTGCCAATTGCGCCTCGTCAATGGTGATACGGTGACAATCCCCTCCGTCCATGGATGATGCCACGACACCAACGGGGCGCGTCCATCTCGCGGACACTTCGCGTTTGCACTGTTCAGCATATTGTCGGTGTCCTTTCCCTCGTGCATGCAGTAGTGTCCCCTCATGGGCCCAAAGGCGCACGTATCCGCAGTACCAGTGCGCTACTGCACAATAGTCTGCAGGCACAAATTGAATCATGAACGCTGCGGTCCGCAGGTGTCTGACAGCTCAGCATCCAATTTCCCAATTCGAAAGCACGACGCAGGGGTATTTCCCATCTTGAGGGTCGAATGTGAGATCTCATGTCCGTACTCCGTACCTTGCGTATTTGGCTCCAAGTCCCTTCTTGTAATGAGTACTCCGTAGTGCTGCGCAGGTTCCGGCGTGGACGTCGTGGGGTCATTGAAAGCGAAAAAGATCCAACTTCGTTATATGACACGCCGACAGTTGGACGCAGCTGTGAGTATCCGTACACAGTAAGGTAGTGTAAGGTATGCCCTCTGCTCCACCGGAATGTCCGAACGATTATGTAATTTCCTCACTTCACCTCTTCCAGTAATTACCATGATGCCTTGGTGAAGAGACAACTCAGGGGATATTCATAGCCACTTCTTGACATGCCTTGGGGATTAGTAGTCAAGTGCTGCGTTGATTCCCCCTTACTACAGACATATCGCGCACGCAGTTGCGCCGGTCGTACTCATCATGACTTCGTCCAATAACCCCAACTTGGGGTCTGGCACAGGTCTTCCCGGGACCGCCCCTCCATTCATACAGCCGTTGGTGGCATGCGCGATGCTGGTAGGGCGAATGATTTCCTCGCTTCCTTCCACCTCTGCCAATGTGTTTGTTCAATCACTAACTCGCCTCTTCAGGTCGTATATACGGCCATCTACGTGGCACCTCTCTACATCTCGCCTGCCAGCCGTCCATCACCAACCCTGTCGAGAGACGACCCTGTCGTTATTCGCACACGCATCAGATCCGTCCTGTTCTCTACTGCATCTTGCTCCGCCCTGACTTACCTCATCCTGGCCCGTCTACCTGAAGATACCTTGCCTTATGGACCACTTCATGCTATGGGATACTGGCCCATCGGCATACTCGAGTCTGCATCATGCCTTCTCCTTACGGCAATCCTGTTTGCTGCTCCGCTGTACGAGACTCTTCTCATAGACGGCGTTTGGGAAGGTTGGCGCGGTCTTGGCCCCGTCACCCGTGTCTGGACGCGGTTGACAACGTGGCGGAACATCGTCATGGTAAGTTGCACCAAGGAAGCCCCAGACACATCATTTGCTCCATATCTAGGGGTGCTAATGTGATACCAAGGGACCTTTGACTGAGGAGATGCTATTCCGCTCTGCCTCTGTTCCGTTGATGCTCTGCGCTCGCATGTCATTGACGAAAACCGTCTTTCTGTCTCCCGTCATCTTCGGCTTTGCTCATGTTCATCACTTTTATGAGTTCCGCATCTCTCACCCCAAGGTGCCTTTGGTCGCCGCAGTGGCACGCTCAGTTCTGCAGTTCAGTTACACCTCTCTCTTCGGCGCCTATGCCACATTCCTCTTCCTCCGATCAGGAAGCCTACTAGCCATCGTGCTGGTACACGCGTTCTGCAATGCAATGGGCCTACCTCGTTTCTGGGGGGCCGTCGAGCCTTACTGGCACGTCAGTGGACACCACACACCAGCCGATGGTCGAAAATGGACGGTGATTTACTATGTACTCTTATTCACCGGGGCCATTACTTGGTGGAGAAGTTTGTTACCCTTGACCCAGACCTCGGCGAGCCTGTTTCCACAAGGATTCTGAGGTGCGTTGTGGTTGTAAATACAGTAGATACTGCCCTAGCAATTATCACATCAGGTCTTCATGTCGATATCTAGCCCTGGCATCGCGCCGGGTATCGTCAACCCGTCATCACTGCGCATCCTGCGTCGACGTAATGAATCGTGTTCCCGACCTGTATGCGTCCTTGCCTCGGCTTCAACTTCCCTTCGAGCTTCTGCGCGGAGGTCCGGGTTGATATCTTTTCCCTTTGCCCTGCTCACCGACGCGTTGATCTCGGCCAGTCCATCCTCAGGGCCCCTGGTGTTCTTCTTGCGCGGCCACATACTCGGCAAGGCGATCTCCTGAAACCGCGGCTCCACGCATCGCTCGTCGAACCAACGGTGTAACCGCGACTCGATGAGTTGGGCGATTTTGGGCACATCTTGCAGCCTTGACCGACTTCCGAGAAGACTTCGAATCGACAGGTCGAGGCGGTAATCGTCCATGAAGCTGAAAGTCATCATGGTCGGGGTGGACTGTGAAGGGTTGCTCGGGATAAAGGAAATGGACAAGGTGCCACTGAACCTTACAACAGAGACTGAGAGTGCTACGGGCAGCACAGCACTGAGGTTCTTGGGGTAATTCAGGAGAAGCTTCGTCTCGAGAGCGAGAGTGAGCATGTCGCTAAGGTCAACGTCCATCCGAGCCTGCAGCTTCGCGCCATCCCTCGTTGCGGCGCTCGCGTTGAGAGTCCTGCCGCTACCCAAATTCAAGCCGTCTTCATCAACGGGTATGACTCGGCAATTGCTAAAGATGGGGAAATCCTCTCCTAGGCTCAGCTCTGTCACGCGGATCTCGTCCACAAAGTCGGGTCTCGATCCTCCGTTCAGTGCCTTGGTGAGAGAGCTCAAGATGGCATCGTCATGCTGCGCGTCGCTACGAAACTGGGCGATTGTCTGCGCCACGAGAACGTTGAACCAGTCCAAACTTTCTGGCTGGTGACTATCGACATTGTAGTAGGTTTTGCTCAGGATGGAACCGATCGTCAGATTCGGGGGGTTCCGCAGAACACTCGACTTCTTCCGATTCAGCGTCTGCTGGCCATGCTTTGCGTTTGCTGTCCGAAGACTGAGGAGAGAGCGCTTATGAGCCAGTGTCCTTGACCGACGCTCTGTTGCTCTCAGTGATGCTGTCACCTCTGGTGAGGGAGGGTCGCCGAAGATGAAGAATTTGATGAAGGCGGCAAGAACGAGAACCACTGACAGCTGGCCAAGAATGAGACCTTGCGTGAAGGAGAGGCTATGATATTACTTTTTAGTACAATATTCTCTCACAAGGAACGTGTGTATGGAACAAGAACTGACGTTGGTTCTGCCTTTGCTGGGCAAGTGTCAGCGGCTAGGCCTGCCATCGTGATGGTGGCCGAAGATGAATCGGTCGTCCAAGTTGCTCAGTAGACGGTATGTCTCTGAAAAGTGCTCATCGAGAACGAAGTACAAGGTTATGAGAAGGGACTTGGCCGTCGTGAGGTATGTAGCTTTCAAAGCTGAATCTTAGCGAAGGAAGCCTGTCAGATGTTGCATGAATGCCACGATGAAGTGCCTTCCGACCTTGAGGTGTTCGACTGATAGTTTTGACACTGTGGAGCGGCCTGAACGTCACTGCTTGAAGGACCCACAGCTGACCCAAGAAGGCTAGTCACTGTGTCAGGCACGATCATTCCACGGGAGTGTCCACTGCTATTGTGAAGTATATGATACCACTCAACATTTAGGCAATATCACAACACTCAAGTCATTGAAAGATCTGATGAGCGAGACTTGTTGCTGTTAATCCTTTTTTCTAATTCGGAACCATGGCTCCAGCTCTGGGAAATCTGTGGGGTACCTAGCTTAGAAGGCTATAAGAGTTGTTGGGGTACCTGATGTCGAAGGTACTTTACCAAGGGTGAGGTACCTAAAGTACGTAGGCATGGCAGGCACGCAGGCCAGGGAGCTCAGGCAAGCTGTCCCAGTCAACTCCGCCACCATCTGCGAACGACATCGATTCCGCTCATCCAGCGATTCATCTTATTCCATCAAAGACACAACACCGCCGAACACAGCGCTCAGAGACCTCACAGTTTTCATACAGCACTGGTCGCCGTTCTTATCTCATCGCCGCCACCAGCCGAAGGACGTCTCCCATCCTTTCCTCCATTGAACACGCTTCAACACGCATTCGACCTTTGCGCTCTGCGCCGCCGGCCAACATGGACGTGGCACAAGCAGTGGCCGGCTATGTCTCTCGTATGATTCAGTCCGCTGATTCCTCATCGACGACACAGTCGGCAAAGATGAAGGTTCTGCTGCTGGACCGCGAGACAGTTCCTATTGTGTCCACTGCCATCACTCAGTCAGCGCTGCTGAACCACGAGGTTTATCTCATTGATCGTATAGATAACGCCAACAGAGAGAAGATGCGCCACTTGCGATGTTTATGTCTTATACGACCATCGCCAGACTCCATCCAGCTCCTGATTGATGAACTACGAGAGCCGAAGTACGGAGAGTATCATCTGTATTTCACCAACGTCGTCAAGAAGTCATCACTAGAAAGACTTGCCGAGGCTGACGACCATGAGGTTGTCAAGCTGGTTCAGGAGCAATTTGCCGACTTCATCGTCATCAATCCCGATCTGTTCTCACTTGGACTCAGCCTTCCCCATCAGCGTCTGTGGGGCAGCAACCCAGACACGTGGAACCCAGACGCCCTGCAACGAAGTGCTGACGGACTTGTTGCTGTGCTTCTTGCACTCAAAAAGAAACCGCTGATCAGATACTCCAAGACCAGCCCACTCACCAAGAAATTGGCTACAGAAGTGCGATATCGTATTACACAAGAGGAGCAGCTTTTCGACTTCCGGAAGGTGGACACGCCTCCTCTCCTGCTCGTGCTCGACCGGCGCGAGGATCCAGCAACACCACTTCTCACGCAATGGACGTATCAAGCCATGGTGCACCATCTTCTCGGTATTACCAACGGCCGAGTTGACCTGAGCAATGTGCCTGATATTCGTCCGGAGCTAAAGGAGATTGTCTTGTCGCAAGATCAGGATCCTTTCTTTAAGAAGAACATGTATCTCAACTTCGGAGACCTGGGCGGCAACATTAAAGACTACGTGGAGCAATACCAATCCAAAACACAAAACAGCTCAAATATCGAGTCGATATCCGACATGAAGCGCTTCATCGAGGAGTACCCCGAGTTCCGCAAGCTATCCGGAAACGTTAGCAAGCACGTCACATTGGTCTCAGAGTTGAGTAGACGTGTGGGTGCCGAGAACCTACTCGAAGTCAGTGAGCTGGAACAAAGTCTCGCTTGCAACGACAATCATGCGGCTGATCTCAAGGTATGTATTCGACGACCATAGTACGGCTTTCCAGTGCAGATACCAGAAGCTAACTCTTCCCATAGAACATTCAGAAGCTCATCCAGTCGCCAAAGGTGACAAGCGACAGCAAGGTTGGCCTAGTCGCCCTGTACGCGCTGCGATATGAGCGCAATCCGTCCAACGCACTCCCCATGCTCGTGGACCTCTTGGTGGCCGCTGGCGGGGTTTCAGTCCGGCGAGCAGATCTCATCTCCAAGCTAGTGAAGTATCAATCTTCGTTGCAGCAATCACAGGCTCAAGCAGGTATTGCAGACATTTTCGAGGGGGGTGGCATATTTGGAGGAGCTGGTGCCAGGTTCAAGGGGCTAAAAGGCGTTGAAAACGTTTACACACAGCATAGCCCCTTGCTTGAAAGTACGCTTCAGAATCTGATCCGGGGACGACTTAAAGAACAGCAGTATCCTTTTGTTGAAGGCGGAGGAACTACTCGAGACAAGCCGCAAGACATCATTGTCTTTATAGTCGGTGGAGCAACATACGAGGAGGCCAAGATGGTGGCAACAATCAACGCATCTTCACCAGGTGTGCGCTCAGTACTAGGAGGTACCACAGTTCACAGCTCGGCTACGTTCCTGGAAGAGGTTGAGGATGCTGTATCTTCGTGGCCTGAGACGCAGAAACCTAGCACAAGGCGATAGACGGAGAGCAATCGATTTGCTTTTCAAGATCTCAGTGACCATCAACAACTCCCATGTCTGCATGTATTACTAGGTCCTTTCACAAGCAATACACAAAGTCACCAAACAACGATTTGTTGTGCGCCAAGATGCTCTTCAACTACGCTACTTCGGCACGGAATGGATGTCCATACTCCATTCATAACTTGGCAGAGCGCGAGAGGAGTGACCATAAACCCATTTTTGCGACATACTCATATTGCACAAGAAAAGACGAAGACGAAGTAGGAGAAGGAATAGAGTAAAAGATGTCTGGTGACCATCACCACGCATGATTAATTATTGGAAGTCTTGGCAGCGACCATCAAATGTGGTATTTTCCAGCAGATGTAACTGCTCAGCCATTATGCTTCCTAAGATTGGATGAGAAAGTAAGCAATGTTTAGTTGGGCCGACAATTCTGTTCACAGTTTCATGTGACATGCGGAATAGCGATGAGTTTATTGAGAGGTCCAGAGTACTCCAAAGATGCTCATATCGACGATGGTACGTTGTCAACCGGAGAAGCTATACCTAAAGTACCCCTGCTGTCGGTGTTTGTAACCGCCGTGCACCGATCATGTCACTACACTGAGACACCAGGGGGCCAAAAAAATCAACGGGGGAGCAATGGCGCGCAGGAACTCCGAATACAAACTGGGAGAACTTCAGCCTTCAAACCCGATTCTACCTCTCAGAACACAAGCCTGGCGGTGGCATTTACTTCTGCCGGAGCGCCGTGTAGTCTCTTCTATCGTGTACATAGGCGATGCGATCCCTTTCAGCAGCCTTGAAGCCGCGCCCACGCCCTGCTGCCAGAAGCTTGCGACAGCTCGGTAGGCGCGGATTTGCAGACGTCGCAGAAGGCACCAGGTCAGTCTGCAGCATACTGAGAACGAACGGCTCTCGCGCGCCAGTCGCACGCAGCTAACCCAATTCTCCAAGACCATTCGATGTCGTCGTAGTAGGAGGCGGCCACGCGGGCGCGGAAGCATGCGCAGCGGCTGCCAGAACCGGCGCGCGAACAGCTCTGGTCACACCAAAGATCGAGAACCTCGGCACTTGCTCCTGCAATCCATCTTTCGGTGGCATCGGCAAGGGAATCATACTCCGCGAAATCGATGCTCTCGACGGGTTGGCAGGCAGGGTCATTGATAAGGCTGGCGTGCAGTTCAGGGTCTTGAACCGGACCAAGGGGCCGGCTGTTTGGGTATGTGAGCTCCATGCATAGTCCCTTTTCTTGGAGGAATCTTTGTAGTCGCTAACCCGTTACTTTCTGAAGGGGCCCCGAGCGCAGATTGACCGGAAACTATACCAGAAGCACATGAGAGCAGAGCTGGAAACGTACCCAAACCTGTCCATTGTGCTAGGCAGTGTATCCGATATCGTCACGAGTGAGAGCGCGGACACGACGAGTTCCGCCCAGAGCAAGATCACAGGCGTGCGTCTCGAGTCTGGCGAGGTCCTCCCTACACGCGCAGTCATCATCACGACGGGCACATTCCTGAGCGCCGAGATTCATATCGGCATGAAAGCGTATCCCGCGGGACGGATAGGAGAAGACGCCTCATTTGGCTTAAGCAAGTCGTTGAATGACAGTGGTTTCCGCCTGGGACGGCTCAAGACAGGAACGCCGCCGCGTATCGCCAAAGATAGCATTGATTTTTCACAACTGGAGAGGCAGCCTGGAGACGACCCGCCGATGCCCTTCAGCTTCCTGAACGATAGAGTGGCCGTCGAGGAGCAGTTGTCCTGCTGGGTTACTTACACGAACGAGGCAACGCACGACATCGTAAGGGCTAACCTGGACAAGACGATACACATCCGAGAAACCATCAGGGGCCCGAGATATTGCCCCTCATTAGAGGCGAAAATCACCCGGTTCTCTGACAAAGACAAGCATCTCGTTTGGCTGGAGCCCGAAGGGTTCGACAGCGACCTCATATACCCCAATGGCTTGTCCATGACCGTACCGGAAGAAGCTCAGGAACAGATTCTGCGCTCGATTCCAGGCCTGGAGAAGTGCGTCATGACGCAAGTAGGCTACGGCGTCGAGTACGACTACATAGACCCTCGGAGCCTCAAGGCGACACTCGAAACGAAGCAGATTAGCGGCCTGTTCCTCGCCGGACAGATCAATGGCACCACCGGCTATGAAGAGGCGGCCGGGCAGGGCGTTGTTGCCGGCATGAACGCCGGTCGCTCCGCTCTGGGCCTCGAAGCTGCCCCGATATCCCGAGCAGACGGCTACATCGGCATCATGATTGACGACCTCATTACCAAGGGCGTCACTGAGCCTTATAGAATGTTCACAACACGAAGTGAATACAGACTAACGTCGAGAGCGGATAATGCCGACCTTCGACTGACCGAGAAAGGACGGGACTGGGGTGTCGTGTCAGACAAGCGGTGGACACACTTCAGCGATGAGAAGCAACAGATGGACGACATCATGTCACTCCTCTCTTCGACGAGCAAGAGCACACCTGAATGGTCCAAACGCGGGTTCCGCGTAAAAGAAGACACGACCCGGCGCAACGCAATGGACATGCTCCGACTCAAGGACGTAACCTGGGACCAAGTCGCTGCCGCGGTACCAGGCATCGACTCCATTCCGGAGCGTCTCAAGTCTCGCATTCACATCGAGGCGACGTACGCACCATTCATCAAGCGACAGCTCGCCGAGCGCAAGGTCTTTGCCCGGGATGAAAGTCTGAGGCTACCCGATTCGATCGACTATGACAAGGTTCCTGGCCTGGCCATGGCTGAGAAGACGGTTCTCAAAGCCACCATGCCCGAGACTCTGGCGCAGGCGAGGCGGTTGGAGGGTATCACGCCGTCTGGGTGCCTCCGCCTGTTGGGCTACGTGCAACGCCAGCAGAAGAGTATTGCCCTGGCCAACATGGAGAGGCCGTGGCGGGAGAAGCAGCAGAGCCGGGAGAAGGACATGCCGTAATGCAACGACTACGCAGAACGTCTAGAAAGAAGGGCTTGCCGACTAATGTAAAGATGGAAAAGGCCAGAAAAGCGTAGCCTTTATGCTTGTACCAATACCATAGCTGCCGACAGGGACCAAAGTTTCTTGCTCCCTCTGTGCGTGTACATTTAATTTTTACAAAATTTTGCCCACCTTCCGTAACGCCCCTTTTATACATGCTTTGTTACGTACAATAATGCGCCACACCTGATGGATGAACCGCATCTTTACTCCGCACGAGGTTGCGGTTATGCTTATAATTTTGCTGCTGCATCTCAATATACGAGTGAGCTTGAACTGTCTGAGCAGTCCAGGTACCTCCGAGAACTGGGAGAGGAGGCCGCCAATGATCAAGGATGAAAGTCTTGTCATACCGATTATACCTTTGGAGGCGGAGTCTTGGGCGGTGCAAGAATCTTGACCGCATCCTTGGTGTAAATGTAGCTTGCGCCGCTCCAAACCGTGGTTGTGGCAACGACATACCTAGCCTCCAGTTAGCACGACCGAGAATCTACAAAACCACCGCGTCGTTTTCTCCTCCGACCCTCCTCCAGCCTCGCGAAGAAGGCAAGCACCAGTGGAAGGGAAAGGGGCCAACGTACTGCATGACTGTCAAGGGCGTCGACAGGTCATAGCTGAACACCGGCGCGGCCGTCGTCAGGCCGATGAGAACGAGCTGCAGGAACGTGTTGTACTTGCTGATGGTCGTGGGGTGGACTTCGGCTGAGGGCAGAGAAAAGTCCCAGTACCGCGCAAAGGTCTTGGGCGGCGGGAGGGAGATCCAGCGGTAGTAAATAGCGGAGATGGCGAGGCCCACGTCGCGACCTAGGATGATTGTTGCGAGCCACACTGTGAGGTGCATAGAAACGTTAGTCTATATCGTTTCACACATATTGGCGAGGGCATCGGCGAGGCATTCGAAGGACTTCGAAGGACTCTTCTCGCCACCCCTCCCTTCCCATCGCCTTGTTCGATCACCGGGGGGCTTCTCCGTTGAGAGACGGAGGTGGAGGGGGCCAAAGTTGACAAAGAAAAGGACCTACCCGGCAGAGACCCCTGAGCGGCAAGGCACACAGTGAGGATAGTCATCAAAGTCTTGTCTGCCATCGGATCAATCACAGTCCCGACAACAGTCTGCTGCTTCCACCGCCTCGCGATCCACCCGTCCAGCAAATCCGTCACACCGGCGTACGCGAAGAGGCCCAAGGCCCAGGCATGCTGGTCGTGGAGGATAAAGTAGCCCACAAACGGCGCGGCCACGAGGCGCGAGAGCGTCAGCAGGTTCGGGAGGGTGCGGATGTCTTCGCGGAGGGTCGGTGGTAACGTGGGTAGCTTCGCGACGATCTTGCTTGCCGCGCTGCAGCAATCTCACACGTCAGCCTTTACATTGGGGAAGAAGGACCTTGGCCGG